TCCATGTGCTGAGTGAATGTTCACAGAGGATCACCTACTTCGCTGTGGACCAGGAACCATCAGGGCTTGCATTGTAATTGGCAGACATGTAGCAGCATTCACAATTCACTACGGTTGAATATCCTATCACCACTCCACGCATGCAGTCTTTGTTCCGGAGAAGGTTTGTCTCTTCGTGTAGTAACATGCACGCAATAGCACCATTGCCTGCAACTTTGGCTAACAGTGGAGGATCGTTTTAAGCACGACAGGTGGGCCGACTACTAGATCATAGTGAAGAGCACTTGGCACATTCCGTCGCCACGCATCGCCACGATTTCATTTACCTATTCAACGTGAGCTTCTCTTGATTAAATACCAGTCAAGTTTAAGGGTTTCCTCCTCACTTTGACTTGACAATTCTCACCACTTTTAGGCAACTTACTTTCCACTGCCAACTTGAGAGCCAAATGAACGGAAAGTGATGGCAGGTGCTTGTATGTGTGGAAGATTATGATGCACACACGTGCCACCAAATTCACCTCCACGTAATGGGGAGTGTAACTTGATGCATGACGCATTCTGTTGTCAAGGAAATATAATCAGCACCTAACAACAAATGGGGTGTTTAACTAGGATTTTTTTTTCTTTTTTTCCTCCCTTTTAGTGGTTTTTCCAAATGTTCTAGGGGGGTGGTTTGATGGCTCGTTTTGCCGGCTGTGTTAAAACGACGCGGGCATTTCCCCTCCCGTGTTTTTATTTAATTGGTTAAGCGTAGCTGCAAAATTTTGCCCTTTGGAGTCTGGAGAAGACCCTTACGTCAAGCAAAGTGGGTAAAGTTGAGCGAATATTTCACGGTTCATCCATCAATCAGAAGTCATCAGTACTGCTAGGTGTCGTGGGACGTGTTGAATAGCCTTGTCATTAACAGGCAATAGTGACAAACAAATTTGAAAGTGGAGTGTGGGGATCAGTTTTTTCTTTAAGTACTTTTGTGGAAAAAAATTCTTAATTTTGCTCATATCTTCTCCCTACGAGTTAATCAACGCACAGTCCCCATGTGATTGATTCACTAACGCCCCATTTCCACTTTCCCCAAAGTAGTCATTCATTCTTTGGCTTTTTTTCTCGACATAGTACCCATTCCGGTGTCAGCAGCTAGTTCTTGAAGACATGATCCCATTAGGTCAGCAATGCACACTGTCTGGTGCGTGACCACAAGACGATAGTTAAGCAGCAGTATATTTTGCTCCAAAATGCCGAGTGAAACGCCAAAGCAAGGCGGTTCACCAGGAGATCAAGCAACATGCACACATTCCAGACGTGGGATCGGAGGGAG